TAGGCTGACACTCTCAGCACTGCAGCACCAGAAGGAGGAGGGAAGGCTGCACCAGAAGTGCAGCTTTTCAGATGAGTTATTAAACTGAAGCACTGCCTGCCATCTCATGCCAAGCATCTCCTGCAGGCAACAGAAGCATGTGTCAACCAATAGCATGAGCCAAGTGGTGCTAAGAGTTTTGCATTATTTTAGAGTTTATAAAGGGAGTTTATTGTCATTGATAAGGTCAGTCCAAGGGATTTTTACATTCTTTCATGGGACGTGGGATTCCCCCATTTGTCTAAATTCTATCCCTGCTTTCTAATAATATTTCAAATAGGAAAACCAATGAGGCTGCAATGGCACCTTTGGATACCCACAATGCCCTGCACTGGGGAAACCACTCTATTTTGTAAGGTGCATGTGCTCAGACACCCTCTGAGCTGGATATGGGAATGATGCAGCTTTTTAGGAAGTTTTAGGAAGGATGATCTGGGAATTAGACTTGATATCACCATGTGAGCTCACTAATCTTTCTCCCTCAGTGGGAAAACATAAGCCACCCTATCTCCCCTCTGTTTCGACTGCCAATTATCTTAAAGCTCTGTTCTCTATATTATCCTTACTGGATAATGGTGGAAACACTTTACAGGAACAGAAGCAAATAAATATGGAGACCTTGGTGAGACTCAGGTCTCAAATTCCCATCTCATATGAACGCACACACATATTCACCCATAATATGCATGAACATACACTACTTAGGTCAATCAGAAATAATAACAGACAGGAAGTGAAAACCACTGTTGCAAATTAACTGCCCTACTTTTGTCAGGACAGCAGCCCGTCTGCTTTGCAGAAGTATTAGTGAGAAGGTGATCAAAGAGGGGTTTACAGTACTATGAAGGGGAATTACTATTCTGTGTCCCAGTTACCTACTGCAGTCCACCAAAGGCACTTTAGATCTCCAGCAATGATTCACGCGGAAATTTTTTTTTTAAAGAACAGTTTGGTTTTCTCCTCGCCCCCTCAAATTCCTCTCTGACCATTGCAATTGCATCACCATGAGTCCCTGGAAAGGAACCAGTACTTGACATGGTCCCCCAGATAACCTACTTAGAATTTGCACATTAGAATTTAACTTTAAAGCAAAGTGGAAACTGTTGCCCAAATTAGCCCAGATCAGCACTTAACCCGCATACTGAGGATGACCATGTTGTGGTACTGTTGCTGGACTCATAATCTAGAGACCGGAGTGAATAATTTACAGGAATGGGTTCAAACCCCACACAGCATCTAAACGAATTCAGCTTTCATGACCTAATCTAATGACCTAATAATGATCATGAAACGGCTGAAATGGAAAAATGTATCTGGCTCACTCATTCACTTTAAGAGAAGGAAACATGCCCACACATGACTCCAAATCTGCAGTATTGTAGTTGACTCTTAACTGCATTCCAAAAAAATCCTGGCAAATCATACAAGTCTCACCACTACCCCCTCGATTAGATTGGGTCATCAATGCTGACAGTACCAGCAACACACAAGGTCTACTGCAGCACAGTGGTAATGTCCCTATCTCTTGGCCAGAAAGTTTGGGTTCAAGTCCTATTTGGCACAGAGTTATGTCTCAACATATCTGAGCACATCAATTTAAAAATGTTTCCTTTCTGTTTTTGGCAGTGATGTTCACATCCCAACAATTCATTATTTATACAAACAACGAGGCTCCTTCATTCAAGATGTTGATAACGATTTACTTTAACCACCTCTGAAAAATTATCAGACAAAAACATTGTGCCACCATGTCGGACATTGGAACTGGCTGTGGTATACCAAAAAAAAAAAATTCCCTGTGTTTTGACCAGTATTTATGAGCTAGATAAAGAATAAAGGACTTTTTTTTCCAAAACTCATGGGTCCTTGGTGTCTCTGGCTGGGCCAGCATTTATTGCCCATTCTACTTTCCCTTGAGAAGGTGGTGATGAGCTGCCTTCTGGAACTGCTGCACGCCCTGTAGGGTTTGATCCAAATGCTGTTATGAAGGGAATACCAAGATTTTGACTGAGCCACACTGAAGGAATGGCGATATATTTCCAAGTCAGGACGGTGAGTGACTTGGACCTTGCAGGTGGTAGTGTTCCCATGTATGTGATGCCCTTGTCCTTCTAGGTGGAAGTGGTTGAGGGTTTGGAAGGTGCAGCCTCAGGATCTTCGGTGAATTTCTGCAGTGCATCTTGTAGATAGTACACACTGCTTCTACTGAGCGTTGGTGGTGGAGGGAGTGAATGTTTGTCGATGTGGTGCCAATCAAGCGGGCTGCTTTGTCCTGGAAGTCAGAAAAAGCCTAATTTGCTGCACCTCCAAGTCAGAAAAATCATGGAGATGAGAATAAATAAAGGAAAAGCACAAACTGACCATGTACAATATTTTTAAAACTGAGAAATATAGTGAAGGACACTATTATCTTACATAGATCTTCTGTATAAGTGATATATTAGTAGTGACACATTCTATGATAGCCCCCAATTGTTATCATTCATGATTAACCTAAAAGGTTACAGGTGCAATAAAAACGTGTTCCTTTACTGCTCTGTTTATTCAGTAAAATTACCCTTCTCAGACTCCAAAGGGACAGAAATACTAACAGCTGATAAGGAGATGGTCATTAAAAGGAAATGTACCCAAAGCACGTACAGAATAAGAAAACCAAAGACTGCAGTCGAGCATGCTTTCTGACCTAAAAACTGAAATAACTGCGGGTGCTGGAAATCACAAACAAGACAGAAATTGCTGGAAAATCTCAGCAGGTCCGGCAGCATCTGTGGAAAGAAATCAGAGTTGACATTTCAGGTCCAGTGGCCCTTCCTCAGAACTGATGGCAGCAAGGAAAAAGTTTTTTTTAAAATACAGAAGATAAGGTGGTTGGGGGTAAGGAGTAAACGATAGGTGGGGATAGAGCCCAAAGAGACAGAAGAACAGATGGACAGACAAAGGAGTGGATAATGGTCAGCCTGGGAGAATGAATATCTATTAATGGGGACTATTACTGGCTAACAATGCGTAGTGTGTAACAGCAGACCATGTGATAACACAGCCCGGCATGTGGGTGTTGGGGTAAGGACATGGGAGAAGGTGTCTCAAGCCCTAAACTTGTTGGACTCAATAGAGTCCAGAAGGCTGCAGGGTTCCCAAGTGGAAAAGGAGGTGCTGTTCTCGCAGCTGGCACTGAGCTTTGCTGAACCACTGCTGTAAGCCTGAGGCAAAGATGTTGACCAGGGAACATGGGAGTGTGTTTAAGCAGCAGGCAACAGGAAGCTCAGGGTCATTTCTGCTTGCGCTGGAGCTCTGGGAAGTGATGGGGTCCTCAGCTACCAGACCTGCTAAGCTTTTTCTGTTTTGTTTCTACTTTCTAATGTTCCTGAAGAATAGCCAAAATACACATAGTCTGGCAGACTCTGTTTGTACAGCATCTAAGAGGGATCACTGATACTCAAGAGCAGTTTTAATGTCTTCTACCCTCTATCTGCCGGTTTATCTGTCCCAAGAACCTTACACTGACAATGAGGATGGGATCTACATGCAACTTACACGTAGAAGGTAAAGTCCCTGTGGACTGCTCTGTCAAAGACAGAAAGAGGGGGAGACACAGAGAGAGAGAGAGAGAGAGAGAGAGAAAGGAGAGCACGCCAGGGAGCATGAAGTAACTGTTGGTGATCTTAACCTGAGGGTCATCATGTCTCAGACGAGGTTGAGAAGGTAAGACCATCTTGGTGGCATCACCCTGCATCACAAACTAGCTGTTCAATTAACTGAGCCAGAGAACAGGGCTAGATAACTCAGCTGGCTGTGTGGCTGGTTTGCGATGCAGAATGACACAACCAGTGTGGGTTCAATTCCTGCACTAGCTGAAGTCACCAAGAAGGTGCCACCTTCTTGTCCTTGTCCCTCACCTGAGGCATGGTGACCCTTAGATTAAACCACCACCAGTCATCTCTCTCTGATGACACAGAAGCCTCTGGCACTAGAGGAATTTACCTGAATTACAGGTAATGCCTTTCAATTTGACAGTGCTGGTGTGAGGTCCTTGGTTGAGCGTGGGGTACTTGGGACTTTGAAACATGCAGACAAACTAAAATACCACAATGGTTTCCTTCACTCTGTACTTTCTCCTCACAGCTACACCCACTGGTGTTGTTCTGCGTGGCAGTTTTAAGTAACACTATACACAACCTGCTATATCAAAAATAGTACAACACTACATTTCCCAGGCCTTTTATTTTGGGTGGCAGCTATTCATTTTGTTACCATTCAGTTTCTCTAGATACCTATATCTAGGGGCGGCACGGTGGCTCAGTGGTTAGCACTGCTGCCTCACAGCTCCAGGGACCCGGGCTCAATTCCAGCCTCGGGCAACTGTCTGTGTGGAGTTTGCACATTCTCCCCGTGTCTGCATGGGTTTCCTTTGGGTGCTCCAGTTTCCTCCCACAGTCCAAAGATGTGCAGGTTAGGTGGATTGGCCATGCTAAATTGCCCATAGGGATGTGTAGATTAGGTGGGTTATAGGGGGATGGGTCTGGGTGGGATGCTCTGAGGGTCAGTGTGGACTTGTTGGGCCAAAGGGCCAATTGATTCTATGATATCATTTATTTGCTTATTGCATTACCATTCCTTTTGATTTTACATTACCAACTCTTTTGTCATTCAATCTCTTGCCTTCAGCCTACCATTACTCTTTGATCTTAGTGCCTATTCGATTGCTCAAACGCATCGCATTTATTGACTGATGAAAGAAAACATATGTGGAACTGGTAAAGCACAACAGGTCAGACAGCATCCGAGGAGCAGGGAGGTAAACATTTCAGGCTGAAACCCTTCATCAGGACATCAATGAGCCCAAAACATTTATTTCCCTGCTCCTCAGACACTGTCTGACCTGCTGTGCTTTTCCAGCTCCATGTTTATTGACTCTACCTTCCAGCATCTTCAGTCCTTACTGTCTCCTTTTCTTTCATCAGGTTGGACAAAGGGTCATCACTGGCCTGAAATGGTGCTAACATCGGACGAAAAATGCTGGCCTAGCCAGTGACACCCACATCCTGTAAATGAATAAAAGAAAAGAAAAATCTCCTAGTGATGCTGCCTGACCTGCTGAGAATTCCAACATTTTCATGTATTATTTAGAGTCATAGAGTTCTACAGCACAGGAACAGAACCCTCCGTCAAACTTGTCCATGTCAACCAGCATCCTACATTAATCTAGTCCCATTTGCCCACATTTGCCCCATATCTCTCTAAACCCTTCCTAATCACGTACCCATCCAGATACCTTGTAAATGTTGTAATTGTACCAGCCTCCACCACTTCCTTTAGCATCTCATTCCATACACGCACCATCCCCTGCATGAAAAAGTTGCCCCTTAGGTCCCTTTTATACTTTTCCCCTCTCACCTTAAATCTATTCTTTTGGATTTTTTAATCAGTCAATGAATTCTCAGCTATATGTAGAGAGAGAACAAAACTCTGAAATACATGGACAAATGACAAATTTCCTTTCAAAGGACCCAACATGTGCTGGTCAAGAACATTTCAAAATTATCCATTTTCCTCAAGTCAAACACAGATATAAAATTCTCAGCAAAGAATTTGTGGGATATCAGCATCACTGGCCAGGTCAGGATATGAAACAATGGAGTGTCGCAAGTTTGGTGGGAGGCAGGCTACAGTGAGAAAGGGAAGAAGAGAAATTGAGAAGATTAATGACAGGCTAGTAGGTTCTCAATGATTTAGAGAGGGTAAGAAATGAAAGGGAAGAATGCAAGTGGAGGTAGAGCTCTGGAGATGGGACAGGTAAGGCGCAAGTTAATGACAGACTCCCATGGAGGCGAAGGCAGTGCAAAGGGAGCTCGGCGCTGCATTGAATTCAAAATTCATTGCAGTGAGGTGGGAAAGGAGTGAACTTGAGACCTTTACCAAAGACCGATATTTCTGGATGAAAGAGAGGAACATCAGAGGAGACGGTGTAGATACAGCAAGGGGCAAGATTGTGAGAAGGGACGAGAACAAAAGAAAGTAAAGGGAAAGAAGGATCCAAAAGTAAACATTGAAAAAGCTGTTGATGCTTGAAACCTGTGAGGTAAAAGAAATGTTTGTTAAAGCAGCATACAAGGTGAAGTTTGAAATGGAACTGGGCAGAGGACAGAGGACAGATTCATTATAGATTGGACTGACACATCGGAGAGAGAGAGTTGTAGAGTTTGCATGTGGTAGCATAGATCTGGATTATTTGCTTTATTTTTAATCAGTTTCTTGGAGTCCCTTTCAGAAAAAGAACAAAGCTTTGCCTTGTCCAGGGGAATTTCCTGTATTTACTTTGTATGGGGGAAAACAAAAGAATCTGGCAGTTAGTGCAAATAACATTGCTCATTATTCAACTTTTATAAATTGTGAGGACTATACATTGCTTATATTCCCATGCATGTAAAAGTTTATGAGTGATCTAATCGAGGTGTTTAAGATGACAAAAGGAATGGCCAGGTTAGATACACAGGGTACACAGGGGTGATTCCAGAAAAACAGGCCATAACCTTTAAATTAATGGACAAATTTCAGGAAGCACTTCTTCACATAAAGCCTACTGCAAATATAGAACTCTTCCACAGAAGCCTGTCAAGGCTGAGGGACAATTGGAAATTTCAAAATTGAGACCTGGGGCTTCACTGGTTAAGGATTAGGGAAATTAGGTGGGTGCATAGGGTAAAGATACAAATTAGTCATGATCTAATTGAATGGTGGCATGGGAGATTCTCCTCGAGTAGATACCAAATTGGAAGAACCTCCAGATGAAGGGATACAATTCATTGAAAACATCCATTGGCAACTATGGAAAAGGAACCGGAGGAAGGAATGCTAGCAATCCCAAGGCCAAGGACCAATTCCATCTCCTGAAAACACCTGCCAAACATGTGGTCAGAGATGAGGCTCAAGGATTGTGCTCATCAGCCACACAAGGACCCACAGAACCCATGTGCAAGTTCCTAGGTGGACAATCGTATTCATTAGTGAATGGGTACTCATGATTGAGAATAGGCTTCAAGGACCTCCTTTGCTCCCATGATCCTTCAAACCCTGGTGCTAAAAGGACTGGGAATCTGCCACAAGAATGTAATGGCAAATCAAAGCTTTAGCAAAAGACAACTTTCAGTAATCCCACCACAGGAGGTCTTGTGGCACAGATGGCAGTGGCTCTGTGTCAGAAACTCTGGGTTCAAGTCCTACCTCAGAACTTAATGGAAGGTGTAGTGATTGTAACGAGGTCAGCCAGCTGGACCTCATGGAATAGGAGTTCCCTGATTGGGGCTGTTAACCTAGTCCAATCAGGGAGTCCTGGCTGACACAAAAAAATGGTTGAGTGTCAGGGATATTGACACTTTGGTGCATGACTTTGAATAAGGTAGTACTATAGTCAAAGACAGTTTGCGTGTAAATAAAGGATGACTTGTTGATGGGATACCAGCCTCTGTAGAGTTATTTCAGAAGGTGCATTTGTAATGTGGCTAAACAGATTACCTATCAATCTGTAAATGCTTCTGAAATGTCTATAGTAGTCAGTAAGAACACATGGAAAAAAATTTCCTGGTCAGCCAGAACTGCACAGTAGTTTCAGAGCAACAGCCTCCCCATGTTAAAAAACTCAATGCCTGCCACAAGTAAACATCATTCTTGTTCCTAGGGACTGTCACACAATTTCACCACAAACAGAATGAAAGTCCATCTGGAAAATTTGTCCTTTGGTATGGAGCTTCTGTTTAAAGAAACATGGTTAAATATTTCCTGAGGTTTCTCCCTTCATTTTTACCTTCCTCATTTCCATCCGCCTCTTGCACATTTCTAAAACCACAAGCCTCAGGCTGACACTGATAATTTTACAAAATGAGGTGTGCCGGAAAGGTACTTTTCTTGTTACTACTGCTGGTGATTCTCTGTAGTGCTCCTATATCAGTTCTCTCTAATTTTAATGCATTTAAAATCCAATTTGGAAACATGATAAGTACACATTTTAATTAGCAATGTTCTGTTTCATACACCCAAGTACAGATCTCTCAAATTCCAGTCATAGAGATCAACAACACAGAGTCTGCACCAAAAACAACCACCTGAAGAACCACATTTACCAGTTATTGGCCCATAGTCTTATATTCCTCAAATATTTAGGAAGGAAAAAGAACCTTTTGGTCCTTGCTTCTGGAGTGTATTAGCCTATTATCAGCATAGAATCATAGAGCTCCCTATAGGTAGAAGCAGGCCATTCAGTCCACACTGACCCTCCAAAGAGCATCTCATCAAGATCCAACCTCATACCCTATCTCTGTTACCCTGCATTTCCCATGGCTAACCCAACTAGCCTGCACATTCCTGGACACTATGGGCAATTTAGCATGGCCAATGCACCCAACTTACATATCTTTCTCCTGACACGGGAGAATATGCAAACTCCACACAGACAGTTACCCGAGGCTGGAATCAAACCCAGGTCCCTGGTGCCGTGAGGCAGCAGTGCTAACCACTGAGCCACCGTGCCGCCCTAAAGCAGGAAGTGCTGTTGCCTCAGAGTCAAATGTTGTGGGTTCAAGTCCCCTTCCAGAGACTTCAGCACATAATCTAGGCTGATACTTCACAGTATGGTGCTGAGGGAATATTCAAGTAGCCAGCTTTCAGATAGGATGTTAAACCAAGGCCTCATTTAGCATCTTGGACAGACATTAAAGATCCGATGGTGTCATATTGTAGATCAGCAAAGGAATCCTCCCCAGTGCTCTGGCCAATATTTTACCATGCAACCAACATTAAGATAGATATGAATTGATCACTCATGTCATCGATATTTGCGGAAACCCGCAGAGTCATACAGCAAGGAAAAAGGCCCTTTGGCCTAACTCGTCCATGCCAACCAGGTTTCCTAAACTGAACTAATCCCATGTGCCTATGCTTGCACCATATCCCTCTAAACCTTTCCTATCCAAGTACTTATCCAAATATCTTTTAAATGTTGTAATTGTACTCACCTCTGTTACTTCCTCTGGCAGCTCGTCCCATATATGCACAACTCTCTGCGTGAAAAGGTTGCCCCTCAGGTCCCTTTTAAATCTCTCCCCTCTCACCTTAAATCTATGCCCTCTAGTTTCGGACTTTCCTACCCAGGGGTAAAGACCTTGCCTATTCACGCAATCCATGCCCTTATTTGAAGTGATTGAAATAAATGCAGTTTAATTTAGCAGTCTTACTTCGTCCTCTGCCAAGCCCTTGTCTGTCTTGACTGTTTGACTTGCTCCCCTTATCTACTGTACCAGCATCAGGCCTTGCTCTTTCTCGCTATCGCTTTAGCTCCCACCCTCACCCCTTTCTAGTTTAAACCTCCCGAGTAGCGCTAGCTAGCAAACCTCCCCACAAGAATATTGGTCCCCTTCCAATTTGCAAAAGTAGTAGACTCGCCAACTTTAAGGGCATTTAAATGATCATTGGATAAACATATGGATGATAACGGAATAGTTTAGGTTAGATGGGCTTCAGATTGGTTTCACAGGTCGGCGCAACATCAAGGGCCGAAGGGCCTGTACTGCGCTGTAATGTTCTATGTTCTATGTTCTATGTTCTAATTCAGGTTTCCAGTATCCTCAACTCTTTATTCTACTTAATCTGTTTTCATAATATTGATGGAGGAATAAATAGTGGCTCAGTTGGTAGAACTTTTGCCTCAGGATGAATAGATTGTACTCAAGTCCTCTTCCAAGACTGGAACACACAATGCTCACGCGATGGTCCAGTGCGGCAGTAAGGAAGTGGTGTCCTATAAAGTGCCATCTTCCGAATGGAAGGTTAAACTGAGGCCTCACGTACCTGTCCAGTGGATGTGAAAGATTCCATGGTCTTACATGGATGAACCATAGAACCACTACAGTGTGGAAATAAGCCCTTCAGCCTAACAAGTCCACACCGACCCTCAGAGAGCATCCCACCCAGACCCATCCCCCTAATCTACACACCCCTGAACACTATGGGGCAATTTAGCATGGCCAATCCACCTAGCCTG